AGTAACTTGAATGTGCCATCAAATGGAACTGTATGCCTGGATAATAAATAATTCTGTCCCCTTACGGTCACACCTGAAACACACTGACCTCTGACATGATTGTATGGTCAAAAGAAATCAGGCAACATATCAGGAAGAGAATTGTGGAACTGCAGAGCCTGGTACATCCTTGGGAACATTTTCCAGATACTTGAAAGTTTTCAAACAGTACAGACACGATGGGAACGTGAATCATCAGATCACTCAGGGAAGAGATGGATTCCAGAGATGAAGGAACTTTGGTCTGAAGTGTTCAGATTGACAAAGACTTTGTTTTGAAGATGCTGCTGAAGCTGGTAAGAAAGAGTTATTCATAATGAAGTCTAAGAAAACATGATCTCTGCAGACCCCACACATCCTGAACACAAACTGTTTAGACCTTTATCCTCAGGTCAGTTTTATACCTGTCTTTTACAACTTGTTTATGTCAAGAAATGGTTAAAAAAAGAACACTTACAAGATTGGTACCAAAGGTTTTTTTTATTATTATTTTCCATATTCATTTACATGATTCACATTAATGTGTTTATCAGTGATTTTAACCAAGTATAATACAAATAATAAGATATCACATGCAAAGCCAACAAAACAAATCATTTCTTGGGGAGAAGAAAGAAGTAACAAATGTTTCTTCCATGCTTGTTTCATCAGACAACAATATTAAGTTCATTTAGAAGAGGCTGACTGACAGAGAGACTGTGAGAGTTATAATGTCTGAGAAAAAAAAACTGTATATCTATGTGAAAGGTCACATTGTGATCTGTGAGTGTTTCACCTTTGGTCTTAATTTGGGTTTATGTTTTAAACATTTCTTTGTTATTTAAATATGTTTGGAATGTTGCACCATGTTCAGCTCATTTCTCTCTGGTTATTATTATCAGTAAGGTGTTTCCATCTGAGCTCATTCCTTTAGGTTTATGTTTATCTCTTGTGTTCGGTTCTCGGTTTATTTTAGTTTTTCCTTGTTTTTTGCTATGATTTGGAGTTTCTTTTATGCCAATCTGAATTGTCTGTGTTTATTAAATATTCCCATCTTGTCCCATTTTTCTCTCCACCGCTTTTCCAAATCCCCTTGATTATCTTACCTGCATCAGATGTTATTCCCAAATCTTTCCTTTATATAAAATCTCACAGGATGTAGCTGCTCCTTACTGGTTATAGGTGTTACTCTTCTAGTAATCCTCCTTTAAATCTCCTTGTTGCTCACTAATAAAAACTTTTTTGGAAGTTTTCCAGAATTATTTTCTGTGTGAAATAAAGTTTCACAAACTGTAAAATCAACCTGTGCAGTCAGTCAATGTTGCCCATTAAAGTTTGAAAAATATGTTTAAATTGTATGAGATCTGTAAATACACATTTTTTGTATTTTTCTTATTTACAATTTCATCTTTATGCAAGTTTTCATGTTCTTGAAGCTATTTTGTGTTTTAGCAGTTACTTCTATCACACTAAAAACTCTACAGAAAAAACACAATTATTATAAAAAAAGCACATAAATGAACAATTTCTCCTGAAAATATATCTTGTAAAAACTTTCACATGTTCTAAAGTATAAAAGGCTTAGATGAATTATAATTTCTAGAGACCTAGTGCCACTGTCATGTTAAAATATATTAGTAATAGTTTTTAAACAATTGTTTTCCTAAAATTATTTTTTTAATAAAGGAAAAAGCATTTTCCAGAAATGTTAAACATATTTTTTCACCAATAAACTATTTACATCTTTCTAAAGATCAATGGTTGATTTGGTAATTAAAACAGTTTTTATATGCAGGTTGCTTTTTTAAAATATTAGATGTGTTATTGCTTATGTACAGAATTTAATATTTATTTCATTTGTCTTAATTTTACCTTTCAGAAATTATTCTCTGCTTCTTTCTGCTCCTGAGAAGCCGACCAACTACATGTTGTTTCTGTGATGCTGTTTGTCTGCTGGTTCCCATTGTTAGTCTTTCTGCAGCAACACAGGAGGGCCAGCAGTTTGTTAAGGAGCCACTTCTTCATAAGAATGTATAGAAGCAAATCTGTCAGAGGATTTATCTGGATTATAGTGCAGGACACACTGAAGAAGTTTCTGTATGTGGTATAGTTAAAATTCCAGAACCACCACCACCCTCCCCACACCACAAACTCTATTAGAATTTGTGGTAAGAATGTCAGTATGTAAGCAAACACCACCACAGTTAAAACAGCTATAATTTGTCGTCTTTCATCAGGTGGGACATTATGGGATGTAGACAGGGCTTTAAGACTGCGTACAAAGAAGAATATTAACAGGGGGAGGGGAAGAGCCAGGAGGGGTCCCAGCCAGCTTCCACTATTTAAACCAATATAAACAGAAAGTATCCAGCTCACAACACTGACTGATACAGAAACCTTGAGTTTTCGCTGGAATCTGTACCAAAAAGGCCAGGCAATCAGCAGATACCTGTAAGTTAAAAGAAAAATTATAGAACAAAGGAAGTTTAAGGAATACAAAGAGAAATGGTGGTAAAAAAGCAAAACAAAAAATTAATTTACCTTTCCATGGCAATGAAGGTCATGAAGAAAACACTGGCCATCACACCACAGAAGTAGGTATAATAAATGAAAATATGTTTTACAATAGAGTAATTTATATTTGCCACTTGTACAATCATACAGCAAATCTGAATGACGTCTGAAATGAGAAGGTTGATGATGAAAACTGGAACGACACGATCACTTCGGACCTGCAGAAAGAGGGTTAAATTAAAATAAAGTAATAATAATAATAATAATAATAATAATAATAATAATAATAATAATTATTATTATTATTATTATTATTATTATTATTATTATTATTATAAAAATAATAATCAGTAAAACAGCTCACAAAAATGTTCCTGTTCAGTTAAGAAATTTGTTTTACAAAAGATACAGTTTTAGAAATTTTGCTTTGTCAAATTTTTGTTTTGATTTTAAAAAATGTGAAACTTTTCTTTTTTAACGTAACAGTCCAGGCAAAAAGTAAAGATTACGCATATTTAGTCTGAGGCGCCTAAAAAACCTTTAATAGACGCACAGATATGCAGAAATTTCATCTCTACTGATTGTTACTCATCTCAGTGACCAAAGCTGCAGAAGAAATGGTTCTGCTGAAGTCAACAAAGACTTTTTCCAACTTTTCACTGTTCATACAAAAATTAGCCTTTAGTCTTCAAACATTTAAACTAAATCAGTAAAATCTTGAATAAATAGATATTTCCTTCTTTTTATTAAAATAATAACATTTTGTTTTATTTCTGAAAGTTTAGTTTTTATTGAACACACCTGAGAGTAGAGACAGTAGATGGCCAGCGGTGTTAAAATACCCCAGATGGAGACGAGTATTATGGTAAACAGTTGTACTGTTCCATAATAACGCCAGCAGAAATCCTCTGAATATGCATATGGAGAGCTGGTACTACTTGGTAATGTACTGTTGTAAGAGTTATTGTGGTTAAAGCTGTTATTGCTGTCATTATAGTTTGGGATGAAAGACGTTGCATTATAATCCATCTTCACAATAAAACCTGTCAAGGAGAGTCAGTATTAATAATGAAGCAGAACAACACAGAGCTTTAAACAAGATTCAATAATTCACTTTTAGTCATTTTACAACTATTAAAATCGACTTAAACAGTGAGAAAACAACTACATGATGACATTTTACTAAGACCCTTATAAAGAGGAAGTACAGTTTTGGTGGGACATTATGTTTTTAACTAAATCTTAATTTATATGCATTTTTTTTATAACTGACATATAAAAAATAATATCCAGCAAGATAAGTGACACCAATATAATACCTAAGTACACAGTGTAAAGGACAGACAATAAAACTCTATTCAAAACCTAATTAGAACTTGTGGAAGCTAAAATCCTTCTAACATCTGTGTAGCTTAACAATGTGTATTTTGGCTGATTCCACTGTCTGCTAATCTGAGCAACACAAAGTCTCTAATTATTAATATTTTAGTTTCTTATGATAAATGTTCATGCACCAAATATATCTAAACTCTGCTATAAACAGTTTCATCTTCATTACATGCTAAAATTAAAAGTGCTAAATCATTATTTTCAGTCATTTTGAAGAATGTTACATGCATAGAAGTAAATTTAAAAATTTGAACCCAAAAGATGAATAATCAAACCTCAGTGAGTTCTTCAAAGCTGCATCAGAACTTGTGCTCTCTGCTTTCTTGAAGTATATTTATAGTGAAGTAAGACATGCAAATATTTTCTGAATGATAAACAGAGATATTATCTGCACACACCTGCTGTGTTTCTGTCCCAAATGGACAAAACGTGTTACTTGTTTTAGTTGAACTAGTAACACGCCTCTCCTGATCCTCCCTTTCTAAATGTATTCTTGTATTTGGTAATGAAATCAAAATTGATAGACCACCTTCCACAGGTAAGAGTTACTGATGAACACAGAACTAATGATGTGTAATGTCTATACTCTCTAGTTCTGATAAATGCATCAGAAAATATTAAAATTATACTATTTTATCTGAGTTTTTCTCCTTTTCATTCCCAGGATCCACATGCAAAACATTTTCCTTTTAAATAATATTCAAATTCAGTTCATGGAAATTCTTTGATGTCAGAACAGCAGATTAAATAATTACATTAGAACAATACATTTATTTAGAGGAACAAAGAAACCTTGTTTCAGGTAACACTGATCATATCATCATAACACAACGCCATGTAAACTGAAGACTAACAAACAGCTTTATAATAAGTTTCATCATGTAAATGATTTCAGTTTAAACAAAGAACAGCTTGTAAGTCTGTAAGAATGAGAAAGAAAACTATTCTCAGAATCTGAGTTGGTTCCACATTTCTTTTTGGACTGGACATGAAAACAAATGCAGACGAGTCCATGAAGACAAAACACAGAAACATGATGCCATGAAGTTTCTCTAATTAATAATCCATCTGAAGCTTCAGAGACTTTTATTCACTTTCAATGACAATTTTTCTGAGCAGGTGTCATTTTTAAATGTTCATGCAAACAACAGGATTGTAATTTAAAGATCTATTAAGACCAAGACAGACAGGATCTGATTGGCAGCTGATCCAACAGAACACCAGGTCCTTAAAGGGACCAAAGTCCAGCTGCACTACAGTGAAGCTCCTTGTTCAGGATCAGAGGTCATGGCTAGAGGAATGGTGTGAATCAGGTTTGGGTTAATATTAGACCTGCTATGTTTGGGGTTAGATGTTGCATAAATGCATTTATAAAAATGAATTGATGTCGATACATTTTCTCAGTACAATGATAGGAAATACAATAATGGTCTCAAAATAGGTAGAAATGTGTGTTTAGGGGTTTGTAACAACTCAGATTAAATTACACACATTGACTCTATTTCATAATCATAAACCAACTGGGCTCAAAGTATTTCAGCCTAGTGGGCTGAAATACTTTGCATGTGCTGCTCAGCCCATACAGAAATTTAAAAATCATGTCTCTTTTTCCTTCCTCTTCACATTTATGCCACATATTGTGTTGGTCTAACATGATACATTTCAGGAAAACACACTGAAGTTTATTTTGCAAATGGGATGCGACAAAAAAAGAAAATATTGTGTTGTATGTTTCCCATTTAATTTAGTTTGTTTATTTATCTGAACTAAAAGAATCAAAGTTCAAATTTTGTATAATTGAAAGTTTTTACCTAATTTTATTACAGTATTTAAATGTCAACTTTGTTTAGAGTATCAAAAATACATTCATGAAATAAAAATAATAAAAATATGTATATCTGTACTTCTTTCCATGTTCATGAACACGACTCACCTTCAGGCTTTTATCTGGTTCCATGCAAATTATTGTGGTTTTAAAATTCAAATTTAATTTCTGAATAGTCTGTTGTGTGGAGACAGCAGAATAACAATGGACATTAGAAAAATACCTTCTAACTTGAGGACCAAAGAACAAAGGTTGCTTCAGGTACAGCTGATTAAATCTGTGGCACCAATGAAGCTGCAGTTTTGGTTCTGAGCTTAATTTCTGTGTTTGATCAGTTGAAACAGGGTCTGACTTTAAAGAGTAAAGAAAATCAGTTCTCAACACTACTTATAGCTCTTCCCATAATTTTTAAGGGAAAGTTGTGTAAATAAGAGCAGAAAACAAAGAAACATAAAACTGATAGAAACTTTATTGATAAATAAAGTGTTGCTTTCAAACCCTTCATCATATTCCTGAATATCCACATCAAGACTCAAACATGTTTTCCTGTTTTCAGCCTTTTTACAATAAATAAAACACACAGTAGGAGATAAACTCCCACACACACCCTGTTCATGTTAAATCCTTCCTGCCCATCTGTTCCTTCACTGACATGCTTCCATTAAGAAGGTATTTAATTTATCTCTAGTAGATCAATATGTGAGCCTTTGGTGCCATTTTTAAGGCTGCTGCTGTTTCTCCATGTTTACTAATTAATGAAAATTAATTTATTATCTGCTGCACCATGACGTCACAGAATGATGTCAGTGCTCTTTCAGCGCCCCCTGGTGGTCATACAGTCATCTCCTGAATTTTTCTTCCTAAAGCATAAATGAACGAAGATACGCTGATCTGAGAGGAATTTTACAAATAAACACTTTCTGAGGAAACTTAGATTTTGGTTTTTTGGTTTAATTAATTTAAAATATTGTAACACAAAACTTGTCTTGAAAACGTTATACTTTGTCATCATTGGTGATTCACTTATAGTACAAGTACCTAAACATAACTGTGGTGTTAATAATATTATTAATCCATCCATCCATTTCCTGTTGCTTGTTAAGAATTAGCCTACTAAATCTTTTATTTTTTTTAAATCATGTTTCACTATTGTTTTAATATTACAACTAAAAAATAAACGGTAATACCTTATTTGAAGGGGGTTGAATAAGACTGTCATGACACTGTCATAAACATGACATAACACCTGTCATGAACATGAATAAGCCTTCATGAATATTTATGACTGTTGTCATAAAGCGTCATTTGGTAAATTATGACACTTTTAATACAAAGTTGACATTATTCAAAATGTCTTTGTTATGAGAACTTGACATTAAATCATTACTGTTTAAACTTTACCTTTAATAACATAAAGTTACCTAATTTTTAAAGTGCAATCAGTAATACTTTTATAACAAATTTATATCAATGATATTAATGATTTCTTGGTTAATGTCAAGTTGTCATAACAAAGACATTTTGAATAATGTCAACTTTGTATTAAAAGTGTCAATTTGCCGAATGACGCTTTATGACAACAGTCATAAATATTCATGAAGGCTTATTCATGTTCATGACAGGTGTTATGTCATGTTTATGACAGTGTCATGACAGTCTTATTCACCCCCTTCAAATAAAGTGTTACCAAATAAACTGGTATAATTTGTATTTTAGCCTGTATGTTATGCATCGGTTCCACTGAACATCGTTACAGAAATACATAATAAAAGAGTAAAAACTAAACAGCTCACTGAGAAAACACTTCACATTGATTTCCTGTCAGTTTAGATCTGTCGCCTTGTTGGAGTCGATATTCAGATAAACTCATCTCTAATACGATCACACATACAACATTTCCCAATCCTTTAGAAATAATGCACAGAGCAAATAATACAGCATTTAAACGTATAATAAATGTCTTCAGGGGAAAGTAATTAGCTTACAGCTGTAAATGTTTGTACAAAATAAAAATGTTACTTCAATTCAAAAACCTAAATTATTCTCAATCAAAAGAAACATCAATTGTATCAGTTGTAAATTTATTTAGGTATCAAAATGCTTTCAAAGACCAACTGGAAGTTTAAAACGTTGCATTGTAACTGAGACCAAACCGTGTTTTCACTCCTGCCGGTCTGCCATCTGTGACGTCATCAAACTGTTAAATGTAGTACCTAATTCAGCCACTAGATGGCAACTAAATGAACATTCTTACAGCATGAAACTGTGAAATAATAATAAACTGACAAGCAAAACATTTACACATATTTACACATATTTCTGCTGAAATAAATTTGCAGTAGAGTAAAAATTAAATTTGATGATATTGTGTATAATTTATAATTTATGTTCAGTTATTTATTTTCAAATTGGCTTTTCTCAATGGATTAAACATGTTGAGTTTAATGCCAACAAGCATTTTCTACCACCTTGTAAATATGTATAGTCTAGGTTTACCTGCCTGTCCTGCACTTTAACAGACTGTTTGCTTTTCTAATCTTCTGCAGGACTTTCCTTTCTGCAGCAGGAGACACACATCAACAGCTGGTCAGTGAGCCCTTCAGACATGAAGACAAACAGAATCAGGTCCATGAAAGGGCTGAAGAGGAACATGGTAAAAAAATGTTTCTGTCATTTCAGCGGAGTGCAGATATGTATAAATAAAATAAATAAGCATAGGCAGGATTGTCAACGTGTAATTAAGCATTAATACAACAAAAATTCCCATAATCCTGTGTCTCTCTGCAGCTGGGAAAGACGTGACATTAGGTAAATATGTTAGGCCACTGACCAGACTGATGATGAACACTGGAGCAGAAAGAAGGCCAACAGTCACAAGCAGATAATACAGTTTAAAGATGATGACATTTGTGACAAGAACAATACAAAACAACCAGACTGGGATGCAGATAATGACTGAACCTCTGATGAAGTCCTGCTGTGGCCAGCAGATCAGAAATAACTTGCAACAAAAGGCAGAAATACACCTTTAATACTGCAGCACAAATATCTGTAAAACTGACCTAAAATGTTTTATAAAGCAGTTTTGGTGATAAAATGTGTTTTGGTAACTTTCTACAGCAACACACTGAAGCAAAGACTGGTCACAGCGCCAAAGTTGTTCATTTTAAAATAAAATGTGATTATAAGTAAGTTTTCCTGATTAGGATCCCTGGTGGCTTTCATCAGGATCAGAGACAGAATGAGTATCAGATTACAGATGAGGAGGTTCATGTAGTAGCTGACAGGAACGTCATAAAGTCCAACCTGCAGAAACCATCAACAGTCAGACTTTTATTATGAAGTCAGGAATAATAAAGTCTGTATTACAAAAACAGGGGAAAAGGGATAATTATCAACAAAATCATTTCTGTTTACGTGAGAGGGGAACTTTTAATCTGTTATAAAAGCTACATATGCAGAGTTGGTTTTTACCTATCATGCAGCACAAAATGACGACCAGGAAAGTGAAAGGAAGGAAAAGCCAGTGAAACCATCACAGTGGGATAATCTGGAAATCCCATTTCTGTTCAGTTTGTGCTGCAAACTCTGTTATTTAGAGACAAGAGGGGTGTTTCACAAACTGCTCCTATGGTCATGAATTTATAAATGATAATGATAATATTTATTATTTATTACTATGCAGACGAATTATAATCTTGGTGATTGGTATATGCAAAGTATTTTCCATTCAGTACTTTTTTCATGACTGAAAAGATACAATTTACAACGTAATTCACCTACAAGACACAACATTTTCATTTCTGCCCAACTGACCTGTCAAACCTTTAAAATAAGTTTGATAACAGTATTTAGCAACCAGAAAAAGTGTTTCTTATGTGGATCCATCAATTTTCTAAAGCTCTTTGTCCTTCAGGGCTGTAAGAGAGCCTGGTGCTTTTCTCCAGCAGTCACTGGTTGAAAAACAGGGTACATGTCACCAATCCCTGACAAACTGGTTCTTTCTTTTGTGCACAAGAAGCTTAGTTAGTAACAAGGAGACCAAAGTCTGCTGAGAAAATATCCTCATCACTACAACACCGCAAACACCCTAAATTAACGCAAGGCAGGATGGATTCACGCTCTCATGCTTCTGATTTTCAGTCTGAATATGAAATGAAAACTGATCATCCTGAACAACCGTCTTCAGATCTGTTACTGCCTAGTCAGACTACACAGGTCAAACCTCAGTTTTCTGTTCTGCGCTACATAAGAGCATCTGGGGATGATATTCAACAATCCTTGGTTGAAACTTGTTTGTAAAATTGCAGTAAATCTGTTGCTGAAGGTCTCAGACCAAACTACGTGACACCAACAGTAAACTACATACAAAGTCTGTAAAACTTCCTCCTCCCTGTTCAGATGATGGGTTTAAGTCTCTTCCTCACGTTTAGGTTTAATCTTCTGCTCTCAGCTGCAGACATGTAATAGACTGGTCTGGTTTTTATGTTGATAAAAAAAACAGGTGTTCCTAATAAAGTGGCCACTGGGTGTTTCTGGCTTACAGAACTACAAACGTGGTTTTAGCTTAGACATCTTAGCTTAAGCTAACATTTTTCTCTTGAAGCTCATGTAGCTCCAGATCAACATAAAGTTTTTATGGAAGATATTAAAATAAAACACAAGTAATTAATAAATCTCTTTAAACCTTCTGTTGCAGCCGATATGCATTTCATTGCAAAGTTAATGAATAAATTTACTTACAGTTTCTTTGCTCAGTTTGGCTTCCACCTCCGCTCAGCTGTTTAAATAGGAAGGGTTGCTGTTCAAACACAAATAACAAAAATGAAACTGGTTTTGCTCAGAAGTGATTGAGTCTCTCAGCCACATGCACACACAGTTCAGACTGTCCTGTTTTACACATCAGGCCTTTTGGATTTAGCTACTCTTTACCTCAGAAACTAAAAATAGTTGATTATGACTATGGCTGTGCTTTTAGTGCACAAAAAAACTGCATCTTGTACAAAAGTTTAAAAAAATTCATTTCTTTTAACAACTGGAACATGAGGAAGATGTAAAGAAAATATTTGGAGAGTTTTCACACGTGTGGTGTGAATGAAAGACGTAACATTTGGAATAAACCAGGATTGGCTCATCACAGGGCCTGTACCACCCCCACAGTGAAGCATGGTGGTGGCAGCATCATGCTGTGGTGAAGCCTTGCAGCAGCAGGAACTAACAGAGCAGTCAGAATAGAGTGGAGATGAATGCATGGTTTTGTTGTATCAGTTACAGCCTGTGTTTTTACTGTGGTGGTAAAAATAAAACCCACTCTGTGACATCAATGGTTCTAATCTAAACCTTTAAGGTTCTCTGTCTCCCTGGTCAGCTGACTATGACTCTGATCCAGAACAAAAGGCCTGATCATCTGTGATTCACTTTCCTGAAGCTGCATTGGAGTGCAGGATGGATTACATTATATTTTATTTGAAGAAGCTTGAAACAGCTGATTCTCACACCAAAAATTTGAGCTTTTATCATTTTAGTTGACTCTGTAACCAGGTATTTCACTGCAAACAACAATTTTAGGAGCTTTGACGTTTAAGAACCGGACAACCTGACAAAACTATGGTGATAAATCTTCATAAGAGTTTTTCAAACTTCTGGTTTTATCTTTTCTGCATCAGTTTGCTCATCACATCAGTTTTATTCTTTCTTTGATGCTGAATTTATAAAAATGAACTTCACAAACCTGACTGATGTCTGACTTTTAAAGTAACCTTATCTTGTTTCATGAGATTATTAATAATAATGCAGTTACAATGAAGTAATTTCTGTTTGTGTCATTTTATGAGGAAATCTTTTTGAACTGATTTTTACCTGGTGACCTGCTCTAGAAATCTGATGGTTTTCTGTCATAATGATCCAAAACATTTGACAAAATGAACAGAAACGGGTCACAAGTTGTCTTCATGGCAGCATTTATTCAGCAACGATGCACACAGAACCACATCAAATAATACCAAGAAGTGATTGAATATTCTAGCATTGTCATGTAACAGGAGTAAAAAAAAACATTATTTTTAAGTTTAGTCATAAAAACCTAAATACTCACAACTTCCAATGAAATTAAGAGGAAAAATATCAACAAGTTTCTGATTATTTCTGATAATGATCAATCTATTAATTGAACATCATCTTTGTTGTTGTTCTGAAACACAGATATAAATTATATCTGTGAATAAAATGTATTAAATTAATGACCTACTAAGAGAAAATGATTCACAAGTAAAACCATCCATACATTTTCTAAAGCAGGTCTTCACCTCCAGTCCTTGGAGCTCAGTGTCCTGAAACCTTCAAGTGTCTCTGTTTCAACACACCTGAGCAGGAAGTGAAGAACTTAGACATTATCCTGAGGAGGTGATTCAGCTGTTGGACCAGGGAGGCGGCTAAAGGCTGCAGGATACATGGTGATCGACTAAATTACAGAGTTGTGTTGTAAGGATGACAACACAACAAATCCTCTACAAGGTCACACTGGACAACAACAGATCAACCTCTGAGACTCTGCAGGACTCAGCTAAAGAGTTAAATGTTAAAGCAATGCATTAAAAAAAGAAGTGAATGGGAAAAGCTTGATGGTTTGATGCAGGCAGTCTCAAAAACACATCAGCACAACAATGATTTACACAGTTTCATCTGAATAAACCACCAGACTTCTGGAACGATGCGGTTTGGACAAATCGAACCAAAGTGGACGTTTGATCAGCTGCAGGTGTGATCAGGATGTTCAGCTCCTCAGACCTGATGAGCAAAACAAATATCTGCAAACCTGAATCGACTGCAGCATCAGAGTCACGATGTGAAAGTTCCTCCACAATGACGTGAGTCTGATTAAATCGATAACATCAGTTTCTGATTAGGTGCTTTCAGAAGGTGTTTGACTGCAGGGTGACTGGATCACATACAGTAACGCTCCAAATCACAGAGATAATAGAGCTCAAACTCTAGCAGCTCTGCTGCGCCTATAATGCAACAAAAACAACTTTTCTACAAATAGAGTCTGATGCACAGACTGATTATTACTTATTAAAATTAAGACCATGTTGTTTCTTGATTCTGTTTAATCTTCAGTCAAAACCAAAAAGATCAGCTGGGCAGAGAAAATGGAGCTTAAACTTCAGATTCTCTCTCCTACAAGTTAACTGAGCATTAATGTGATGAAACATCCACTTGATGTTGTATTTGTTCTTTACTGAACCAGTTTTCCATGCATTCATGATTCACTTTTTAAAAATCATGTTGACATGTCTTCAAATGTTCCCTAATTATTACTGAGTAATTTAGACATTTTATTTTTAACTTGCATTTTTACTGGCTGATAAATTATTTTTATTACTGTTTCAATAAAATTCAACTGCTCTTTTTGATCAAATCTCTTTCATTTCCAGATGTAAATAAAAGCTGGAAAAAGGTCATATTTGATTCTGAATGGATTAATATATTTATACTAAACTGTTTTAATCAGGCAGTGTTACATTTAGATGGGGCTAAAATTCTGCAGCTGATCTAAAGATTGATAAATGAGTTTACATCATTCGTTAGAGACTGATTACTGTTACATTATTTTTGCTGATTTGCTTGTTCTCTCCTTTTATTCCTGCCTATGAACTGCCTGCCTGAGCTGCAGTCAGACAGAGAATCTGCTGCCGTCTTCCACTGCAGGTGTTTCCATCTTGCAGCAGCAGAGACAGGCCAGCAGGTTGTCAACGGGTCCTTCACGCATGAAAACGAACAGAAACAGATCCATGAAAGGACTGAGCAGAAACAAGGTCATAAAAAACTGTGTGCCAGCATACATATAATAATAATATGGATCAAAGGTCAAGAAACAAACTGGTGGGACAATTGTTACAGAGTAATTAATCAGCAGCAGAACAAAAGTTGCAATGATTCTACGTTTTCCTTCAGCAGGTACTGAGGCGGCTCTAGGCAGAGATATGAAGGCCCCGATTGGACACAAGAGGAAGATGATGGAAGGAATGAGAGCAAAAACAAACATGACTGAAATATGGCGAAAAAATATCAGGAGAGGAAAAAGCAGCATGCAGATAATCCAAACCGAAACACAGATTAATACAGAATATTTAGTTTGTCTGATGAAGGACAGCTGGATGACGAAGAAACACCTGCAACACAAAACAGAGGAAATCTGTTAATATCTGCCCAGAACTGTGTAAACCAAACTGAGATCGACTAAGTTTACGAATATAATTTGCATGTATGCTACCTTTCCAGAGCGATGATCATCCTGAGGTACAGACTGACCATCGCAACGCCGCCGTAGATTATGAGACTTGTGGAATTTGGAAAACGTCCATCTTTTGTTTCGACAGTAACAATCAGAGTGATGAGCTGCACTGCATTGGCAGCGAGGAGGTTTGTGTAGTAGATGGCAGGAATGTTGTCAAACTGAACCTGCAGGAAACATTTAACAAATCACAATGTGGCTGAAATAAACAGTTTGATTCATGTATCCATCAGCTTAGAAAAGGGTTAATTTAGTGATGACTAAGCAATAATGTAATCATATTGTCTGTTCTACTTCAGGAAATAAATGGAAAATGTTCCCTAATATGGTTTCACTTTTTGGAAAATATTAAAACCAAAAGGAGGAGATTTGATGGATGTCATGAAAATAAAAATAAAAATATCTAGATTTCTATGATTTTTCAAATATTTTAATCTTTTTCTTTCCCCAAACAAATTTGATGTGAATTAATATAATCCTCTGAAATAAAGTCAGTTTAATTTGTATTATTTAGATCATTTGATTTAATTCCAAATTATTTTATGAGTTAAGAGGGT